TGTTTTTCTCATGTGCTTCTATCTCAACCTTCATAGTATTTTCCCAATTCTCATTTCCTAATGCATCGGATAAAGTTTTGGGAATAGGGACTGTATTTAGGCTAGTAAGAAAGCCCTGTGGTTATGAGAGAGATTCTTATATGACATGAACAGATAAAGAGGGTGTTTGGTAAAAGTTCGAGTTCCTTTTCTAATTGCAATAGGGACATCATGATCATTCTGTTCAGAGGTTTCATTGGTGTTATCATTGCGTAGAGTAATTACCTTGACATTACCAAGAGCAGATTTGGGTGATTGAACTTGCACAGGTTGAGAGATTAGTGCTCTTTTCCTTGAGTAAATCTGCAATGGACGAGTAGAGTCTTGAGTTTGCTTCCCATGTAACACTCCTTGTGATTTGGGTGTACGAGGCTCGGCTTCTGACCGTGTGTTTGGCCCGGACTGAATGTTTGGAAGTATGTTTGACTCGGATTAATGAGAGATAAGGGCTGGAAACTCAAGGAGAAAAAGATCCTTGTCCTTATCTTCTATGAAAGATGTCTCCCCCTGAAGATAAGGACCGTTAAAATACTGATCTTGTTCGACAAAAGTAACATCAGCAGACACATAAAATCTCTTTGTCAGAGGATGATAGCATTTGTAGCCCTTTTCGGTAGAAGAATAGCTAAGAAAGACACATTTGAGAGCTCGAGGATCAAGTTTTCCCCTGTTTTGAGAATGAACCTGAACAAAGGCAACACAACCAAATATCTTTGGAACAAGATTATTAGATGCTTTAAAATTGGGAAAGAACTGTGTAAGGACCTGCATTGGACTTTTAAAACCAAGGACTCTTGTAGGAAGCCGATTGATGAGATGAGCATCGGTTAAAACAACCTCCCCCCAGAATAGTTTTGGAACATTTTTTTTAGAACAAGAAAGCTCTTGTAATAGCGAGAAGGTGGCCGTTCTTTCGTTCGGCCACCCCATTTTGTTGAGGTGTGCTAGCACAAGAGGATTCATGTATTATGCCCTGTTTTTGGAAATACAGAGAGAGAATTTGATTAAAGTAGTCCTTAGCATTGTCAGATCGGAATATCTTTATCCCAACGCCAAACTAAGTTTTGACCATATTGAAAAAAGTTGGAAACACAGAACTCATCCGATTTATTTTTTAACAAAAATATCCAAGACACACGAGCGCAATCATCAATAAATGAGACAAACCACCTTGCCCCAGAAACATTAGCAACAGTGGAAGGTCCCCAAATGTCACTGTGAATCAAGGTAAATGGAACATAAGTTCTTTTATTGCTGATTTGAAAAGAAGCACGTTTGTGCTTTGCAAGTTCACATACATCGCAGTGAAAATTTTCAATGGATAAACTTTTGAACAATGAAGGAAACATTATTTTAAGAACACTAAATGATGGGTGACCAAGACGAAGGTGTTGAAGCCATATCTTGTCTTTATTGGATTTGAATGACTTGGAAAGAAATGATAATGGTGACAAACTCTCAATTCTATTTTGTCCATTTGATTCTTCAAGGAAGTAAAGACCATCCCTCTCCCTAGCATGTCCAATCATCCTCTTCATGCCCTGTTCCTGAAATACAACGGAGAGGATAAAACGTCACGCTGCAATTAGAATCTGTAGTGAGTTTCTGGATTGACACAGTTTTGGGACATGAGGACATTCTTAAGTGTAAGATGGTCATTCAAAAAAACATCTCCTTAACCAGCCACAGTTATCACTGATCCATTAGTTATTGTTATTTTCCTATTGCTAGGACAAGGGGTATATGAAATGAATTTTTTTGAGGAATGGGTCATGTGATTTGTAGCTCCTGAGATTGTATCCAAAGCACTAAAAACATAAGAAGAGGGGGAAGGAGAGGAAATACCTAAGAACACCAAAGAACAAGTACATGTTGTAGACGGTTTCTCCAACGTTCCCAATAGGCTCTTTAATTTCTCTCTCTCTTCTTTGTTGAATTCGGCAGGTGGGATTGAAAGATTGTCTTCATTGTTTGACTGTGTGGTTGCCATATGTGCCTGTCCTTGTCCTCTTGGCTGTCCACTCTTTTCTGACCAGGCTTTGTTCACAGTTTGAGGATTGCCATGGAGCTTCCAGCACTTCTCCTTAGTATGGCGGGATTTTTTGCAGTATGTACACCATAGAGAATCCTTGTTGAATGGTCTTGACATGTCTGCTTGCCCACTGCCTTCTCCACAATGCTGTTTGGAGCCATAATTCTTCACAACTGTGTTTTTTGACACCAAGGCCGAACTCTCTACTGTGTGAGTTTCAATCATGACACCCCTTCTTCCTTCCTCAGCAAGAACAATTGCAATTGCCTCATTTAAGGTTGGCAAATCTTCTTTTCCAAGTATTTGCACTCTTACAACATCAAATTCGATGTTTAAACCTTCAAGAAAATCATAAATTCTATCCTTTTCAACAAACCTCTTAAGGATAGTTGCATCTTCACTGCACTTCATCTGAATGCATTGATAATGATCCATCTCCTACCATAGACCCTTCAAGAGGTTGGAATATTCGGTGACTGACCGATTACCCTATTTGGTAGCGGAGATTTTGGTCTTGATCTCATGATCTGTGCAGTATCACGTACTTTGGAATAGGTCTGCTTGACTGCTTCCCATATCTCCTTGGCCGTGCTCAAAAACATACAAGTGTCGCTAATTTCTGGTAACATAGAGTTCCGACACAACAATAGAGTCTTGTTCATCCCGAGCATCAAACTTAGGATCCTCCTTCTTTGGACCATTACCAAGCAAGTGGCTTAGTTTCCCTCTTCCCTTCAAGAACGTGCAGACCATTTGAGACCACTTTAGATAATTTTTCCTGTTCAACCTGTACACCGCCTGGATATTATGCAATTCTCCTGTTGGGACAGAGTCGTTCCTTAGTCACAGGGATCTCTGAAGTGTCGCTGCTTTCAGTGGATGCTGACATGGTTTAGAGAGAGAGGTGGAATCCACAGGTTTGATAACACTGGATTTTCACAAAACATGAACACGAAGAAAAGGACTAACAAAGAAGGCCAAGAGAAGACGATTACCCAGAAAACGAGCCTAGGGCTCTGATACCATGACAAAATTACTAAAATTGGTAATCAAATCAATTGTTTAAAGAATTGAGAATATGTTGTTATATGTACATCAGAATAATGCTATTCTAGGAAACTAACTAATCCTGGAGATACATATCAAAAACTGATCGCTAGAAATCAGGGATTACAATAACTAAAAAATCCCTAGCTATTAGCAACCTGTACACGGTTTCCTTATACAAGGAAAGAATCGTATTTTCCCACATCCCCCTTCTCTGTTTTACACCATGACATTGCCTTGTTTATTGTCCCTCCGAAAGTGTTTAGTTGTGTTTGTTATGTTCACATTCATCATCGCAAGGACAAAATGGACCCTAAGGCAATCCGATGTGTCTTTCTTGGATACTCCGCCACTCTGAAAGGGTATCGGTGTTATAACCCGACCACTCGTCGTCACTTTGTCTACATGGATGTTACATTCTTTGAGTCTATTCCTTTTTTTTTTCCACTGCTCGAGATTCTCTACAGGGGGAGACAACTATACAGGTAGAGAATCCGTTGTCCATTCAGAGGGAATGCCCCCTTCCTTTGCCTGTTCCCATTCAGGGGGAGCTTCTTACTAAGGTGCCTATGTCTAGTCCTCCTAACACTAATGATTTGCAACAGGAAAAGAAGCCAATTGTCTACACTAGGAGGGCAAAACAAGTTATTGACTCAACCAGGACCAAGAAGTCTCCCTCGATCCAGGTAATTCCTTATTTGACATTAATACTCCTAATTCTTTTCCCAATAGCATTCATGTTGATCTTGATGTCCCTGTTGCCTATCGTAAGGGTGTTCGTAGTTGTACAAAGCATGCCATATCTCAATTTGTGTCCTATGATGCCTTATCTCCAACATATCGTGCTTTCACTTCGTGTATTTCCTATGTATCTGTTCCTTCTAGTGTTTTAGATGCTCTTAGTCAAACTCCATGGAAGAAAGCTATGCTGGAAGAAATGAATGCCCTTGAGAAGAATGGTACTTGGGACATTGTTCTATTACCTAGGGGTAAGAAACCAGTAGGTTACAAATGGGTCTACACAATAAAGTATCATGCAGATGGAACAATTAAGAGATATAAAGCTCGGTTAGTTGCAAAGGGCTTCGCTTAGACCTATGGAATTGATTATTTGAAAACATTTGCTCCAGTTGCCAAGATAAACTCTATACGTGTTCTTCTTTCTTTGGCAGCTAATTTGAATTGGCCCATACATCAACTGGGTGTAAAGAATGTTTTCCTTCATGGTGACTAGAAGGAAGAAGTGTATATGACTATGCCACCAGGGTTTAAGCTTGCCAATGGTCAAAATTTAGTGTGCAAGCTAAATAAAGCTTTGTATGGGTTAAAGCAGTTGTCACGTGCTTGGTTTGAGAGGTTCAGCACTATGTGAAAAGAGTAGGGTACTCACAGAGTCAGGCAGATCATACTCTCTTCATCAAGAAGCACCAGGGCTGCACCACTGCCCTTATTGTATATGTTGATGATATTGTTATCATTGGAAATGATCCAGAAGAGATTTGTAGAATGAAGTTATTCTTGGGGACAGAGTTCGAGGTTAAAGACCTCGGATCATTGAGATACTTTCTTGGCATTGAGGTGTGCAGACCGAAGAAAGGGGTGTTCATTTCTCAATGGAAGTATGTGTTAGATTTGTTGGCTGAAACTGGTAGACTTGGAGCTAGACCCATTGATATTCCCATTGAGTAGAAAAATAGGCTTAATGATGTAGATGGAGACCCATTAGATGATGTGGGAAGATTTCAGTGATTAGTTGGGAGACTGATTTACTTATCTCTCACGCGCCTAGATATTGTCTACGCTGTTAGTGTGATTAGTCAGTTTATGCATGCTCCACGTACACCTCACCTAGAGGCAGCTCATCATATTTTTCGCTAACTCAATGGTTCACTTGGTGAGGAGATATTGTTTGCAGTCTGGCCACTTGCGTGTTGAAGTCTATACTGATGCTGATTGGGCAGGGTCTGTGACAGATCGACGGTCTACTTCAGGATATTACACATTTGTTGGAGGTAATCTTGTTTCATGGCGCAGCAAGAAACAATCTGTAGTAGCTAGATCTAGTGTAGAGGTTGAGTTCAGATTCATGGAAGATGGAGTTTGTGAGTTGTTATGGCTACGTACAATGTTGGGTGAGTTGGCTTATCCTGTTCGCGAGTCAATGAAATTGCATTGTGACAACAAGGCTGCTATTAGCATTGCCCACAATCCAGTTCAACATGATAGGACAAAGCATATTGAAGTCGATCGTCCATGAAGTGACACACACCAAGAGCGTCCATGAATTGTCGGTGTCCAACATAGATATGGCACCTTCGTAAAAGTTTCATGTTTCTAAGGAACGAATCTATGACCTCACCCATGAATGACAAAACTAATACACAACCTCTGAACTACAACCAAGTGACTAAATCTATACGAGCCTTTATTTCGTTCAATCGGTTTCAATCAGGCAAATGCAAACTGTAGCATTACGCTGATGCACAGTAATACCTTTAATGATATATAGTTTGTTGAATATTTCATATCAAGTTAATGCAACTTTTTATTTTTCCTGAAAAGGGAGATTTGTGCTTGAGTGGGACCCTTGTTCAATTCAGAATATTAAAACTAACCAATTAAGCTGTCATGTAATCAATAAGGGAATCATGATACAAAAACCCACACAGTTGTCAATTGGCTGATAAGATGGCCCATGAACAGACCCGGTTTTGACAACCTTTGAAGATAGAATGAGCTAGGGAGGCTATCTTGTGTATTCTTTTGGGAGCGCTCCCCTGTTGAGCGCCTTTGTGAAATCTTACTTATCAAAAAAAAAAAAAAAAAATTTGAAAATCGATTTCTTTTTACTAAAAAGGTAGATCAATTCACAAGCAAAGATTGAAAGGTGTACTACATGCAAGAACTACCTGTTTCTTAAAAGATTATTACTTATTTTCCATCAGCAGTGGATCAAAAGATATACTGAACTAGTGAATAGCATAACAAATTACTAAACTTATAAAAATAAATAAAATAAAAATAGCATAACAAATGACTGCACATGGTACCTGTTGGAAAGTCACTGTTTTTCTATTTATAGGAAAACCGGGACAGCTGTAAATTAGGGGGAAAATCTTTGACTTTGTAATTAGTTGGAAACTAATCCTCATTTAGCTAGTATCCTGATTTAGTTAGGAAAATCCCATATTTTATGGGATTCAAACTTTATTCTTTGTCTAATTGTACATATTGTATTTGGCTATATAAGGCCAACTCTCCGTGCTGTATTTTTAATTCCCAAGAATAATAATTTCAGTTCTCGCTTACATGGTATCAGAGCCAGGTTCTCTTCCAGGGAATCAATCCTTTTCTAAAAGGGTGAACCAATGATGTCAGATTCTTCTAGAACAACTGGTCAATCCGAGGAGACGACTGCCCATCAAGCCACGGGTGAGTTGCAGAACATTCAAGCCGCATATCGACTGAATGGTAAGAACTATCTGAAATGGTCCCAATTTGTTCAAACTTTTCTCAAAGGGAAATGGAAACTTAGCCATCTCCTTGGAACTGGACCTGACACCAAAGACCCCAAATTTGCCGCTTGGGACGAGACAGACTCCATGGTCATATCTTGGCTTTGGAGTGTAATGGTGCCAGATATAAGTGACACCTGCATGTTTCTGACCACGGCCAAAGATATATGGGAGGCAATCCGACAAACGTACTCCAAGGTGAATGATTCGGCGCAAATCTACGAGATCAAGACTAAACTCACTGCCACTAAACAAGGTAATCTCTCGGTCACTGAATATGCCAACTTGTTAAAGAATTTGTGGCAAGAGATGGATTACTATAGATGTATCAAAATGAAAGATAGTGAGGATGCTGCTATTCTTAAGAACTTTATTGAGAAGGATAGAACATATGGATTTCTGGCGGGACTCAATATCGAATTTGATCAAGTAAGAGTGCAGATTTTTGGAAAAGAGGAACTAACGTCTCTGAACAAAACTATTGCAATCGTTCGTGCTGAGGAAAGTCGAAGAGGAGTAATGGTTATTACTCAACCATTGGAAGGCTCGGCTTTAACTACAACGAACCCGAAGGAACCAACTCCAGAAAAAACATTCGCTGCCAACACCGAAAGCAGATGTCCAGATCCAAGAAATGGTAATAGGACAAATCTTGTATGCAACTATTGCAAGAAGCTAGGATACACTAAGGAGCAGTGTTGGAAGCTTCACGGGAGACCACAAGGCTTTGGCCGAAATGGTGGAGGATCAACGAACTGGCAACAGAAAGGGCAGGCCAATCTGACACAAGCTAATGATGATGGTTCCAGTAATCGAGAAAATTCCAGTGGCAAGGAATTCAACAGAGACGATATAGAACGGCTTAGATCCTTGCTGAACTCTTTGGAAAAACCATTGGGTATGTGTTCATTTGCACATTCAGGTATGTTTTCTTCTTCTCATGCCCTTAGTGCCTCAGATCACAACCACTTTGGCTCCTGGATCATTGATTCGGGAGCAACCGACCACATGACACATCCGTCCCACATTTTTTCCACATACAACCCATGTTCTAGTAGTAGAAAAATCATTGTGGCTGATAATTCTTATGCTACTGTAGCAGGTCAAGGAAATATTCACCTAAGTTCTTCATTGATTTTAAAAAATGTCTTACATGTTCCAAAGCTTACCACAAACCTTGTCTCTGTTCAACATCTCACAGAAGACCTAAACTGCAAGCTAATCTTTTACCTACTACATGTGTTTTTTAAGATCGAGTTTCGGGGAGGACGATTGGGCGTGCTAAGGAAAGCAGTGGCCTCTACTACCTGGATTTGCTAATTAAACTGTGAACAATAAGGTCAATTCATCACTTTCTTTGCTGTCCGATACCAAGTCGTCAATGAAAAACCAAATTTGGCTCTACCATTTACAGTATAGGCATCCTTCTTTTAGAGTTTTGAGTGTCATGTTTCCCTCCTTGTTTAGGGGTGTTGATATTAGTCAATTTCATTGTGACATTTGTGAGTTTGCTAAACACAAACGTGTTCCATTTCCTGTGAGTAATAAAAGATCTTCATTACCCTTTTATTCGATTCATAGTGATATTTGGGGTCCCTCAAGAATTGCAAATATTTCAGGGGCCAGATGGTTTGTCACTTTTATTGATGATTGTACTCGTGTCATGTGGGTTTTTTTGATGAAACAAAAATTTGATGTGTGTACGCTTTTTCCAATCTTTCACGACTTGATAAAAAATCAATTTGGGGTTAAAATAAAAATAAAAAAAAGATCTGACAATGCAAAAGAATATGTTAATCAAGTTTTATCTCCTTACTTTCAAAAGGAAGGGATTGTACATGAATCCTCTTGTATTGATACACCCCAACAAAATGGAGTGGCAGAAAGGAAAAATAGTCATCTCTTATCAACAACCCGAGCACTGCTATTCTAAACAAAAGTTCCAAAATATTTATGGGGGGAAGTTGTCCTTACATCCACTCACTTGATAAACCGTACTCCATCCCGAATTCTTGACTTTAAAAGTCCCTGGGAAGTGTTATCAAAATTTTTTCCAGATTTTACCTCTCACAACCAATTGGCTCCTCGGGTATTTGGGTGTGTTGCGTTTGTTCATATTCATTCCAAGAGTCGTAGCAAACTTGATCCTCGAGCACTCAAGTGTGTTTTCATAGGGTGTACTCAACGCAAAAAAGATACAAATGTTACAATCCACCGTCACGTAAAACCTTCATTTCCGCTAATGTTACCTTCGTTGAAAATGAGAATTTCTTTCACCCTTATCTTCCGGGGGAGACTTCTACTAGGGAAGATAAGGATTTTAGTGATCTTGTTTTTCGCATGGACCTTCCTGCTCAAAACAGCCACCCTATAACTTCACCTGATTTGCTACCTACTGAGTCACCTGATCCACTGCTCGAACAGCCTCAACTTGAAACACCAAAACAACCACATGATCCCGAGACTCCAAGACAACCTGAAAATCTGATGGAACCTGTTCTCACTACACCATTGCGGCAATATTCAAGGAAAAGAGGTCCCACTGCTAAACTGAAGCAGGCCCAAGTGTCCAAGCCAATTCTCGGGAATGAGGTAAATACAGAGGTTTGTATAACAAATGTCCCAGTTCTTCTTACTCTTGATTTATCCTCTGAAGTAATTGAAAAAAACGATCTGCACCTACCCATTGCAGTAAGGTAAGGCACTCGAAATTGCACACAACACCCTTTGTCTCATTTTGTGTCATTTGAAAAACTGTTATCTTCACATAGAAGTTTTCTCACCCACCTAAACTCTATAACCATACCAAAAACACTGTCTGAGGCTCTAGGGAAGAATGGAAATAGGCTATGAAAGTGGAAATGGATGCACTTAAGAAGAACAAGACTTGGGAGTTAGTAGAATTACCCAGAGTAAAGAAGCCAGTTGGATGCAAGTGGGTGTTCTCAGTGAAGTACAAGGCAGATGGATCTCTGGAACGGTATAAGGCTAAATTAGTTGCAAAAGGTTATACACAAACCTATGGAGTTGATTATGAGGAAACATTCGCACCAGTGGCTAAGATGAATACAGTGAGGATATTGTTGTCTTTAGCAGCTAACCTGGATTGGAGCTTACATCAATTCGACGTAAAAAATGTTTTCCTACATGGGGATCTTGAAGAAGAAATTTATATGGAGAGGCCCCCAGGGTTTGGTGTTGACAATAGAGGGGAGAAAGTATGTAAGCTTAAGAAGGCATTGTATGGATTAAAGCAGTCACCAAGAGCATGGTTTAGGAGATTTGCAAAGGCAATGCGAGGAATGGGCTACAAACAAAGTCAAGGTGATCACACGCTATTCGTAAAGCACTCAAACTCAGGGGGAGTAACCGCCTTGCTAGTATATGTGGATGATATCGTCACTGGAAACGACATAAGAGAAAAGGAAGCACTTAAGAGACGCCTTGCAGAGGAATTTGAAATAAAGGATTTGCGAGGCCTAAAATATTTCTTGGGCATAGAGGTTGCTCAATCAAGGGGAGGAATATTCATCTCACAACAAAAGTACGTGCTAGACCTTCAAGGAAACTGGAAAAACAGGGTGCAAACCAGCCGAAACACTAATAGAAGCCAATCATAAGTTAGGTGAGGGTACAGAGGAAGAATTAGTGGATAAAGGAATGTATCAACGCCTGGTGGGGAGACTGATTTATCTGTCCCATACTAGGCCTGACATAGCATATGCAGTTAGCGTGGTGAGCCAGTTTATGCACAATCCTAAGGAAATACATCTACAAGCTGTATACCGGATCCTACAATACTTAAAAGCTAGTCCAAGCAAGGGAATTTTATTCAAGAAAGGGACGAGCTTGAACTTAGAGGCATATACAGATGCAAATTATGTTGGATCAGTGGTTGATAGAAGATCGACATTAGGCTATTGCACGTTTCTGGGAGGAAATATAGTGACATGGAGGAGTAAAAAACAACCAGTGGTGGCCAGGTCGAGTACAGAAGCGGAGTTTCGAGCAATGGCACTAGGAATTTGTGAACTTTTATGGCTCAAGATAATTCTGGAGGATCTCAGAATCACGTGGGAAGGATCTCAGCTATCAACATTGCTCACAATCCAATACACCAATCGAACCAAACATGTGGAAGTAGATAGGCACTTTATACAGGATAAACTTGATAGCGGTCTAATTTGCACTCCATATATCTCAACAGCAGGTCAACTCGCAGATGTTCTAACAAAAGGACTGCTCGAACATGCATTTCAAAAACTCATTAGCAAGCTGGGAATGGAGAACATTTATTCACCAGCTTGAGGGGTAGTGTTGGAAAGTCACTGTTTTTCTATTTATAGGAAAACCGGGATAGCTGTAAATTAGGGGGAAAATCTTTAACTTTGTAATTAGTTGGAAACTAATCCTCATTTAGCTAGTATCCTGATTGAGTTAGGAAAATCCCATATTTTATGGGATTCAAACTTTATTCTTTTTCTGATTGTACAGATTGTATTTGGCTATATATGGCCAACTCTCCATGATGTATTTTTAATTCCCTAGAAAAATAATTTCAGTTCTCGCTTACAGTACCTTATTTCCACTTTAACAAATAACTACACATGTTTTCTAAATGATTATTATTTCTGGCTAAAAATATTCTCTGGGAAGTCATAGACATTATGGGAATTTGCCTTCATGATGTTATTACTCTACCTTCTAGCTAGCCAGTTCCTAAGGATATGTCCTAGGAATTTGTTTTCTTTCATTTTGTTCTATCTCTTTTTGTATCTCGTGTGAGGGTATGCCCTCTGTTATCCCATGTACCATATCTTTTCATATATAAAAATTTCCTCCATTTAGGAAAAAAAAAATGATTATAATTTATTTTCCCTCAGCAGTAGATCAAAAGATGCACTGAATTTTAAATTTTCAAGTACCATTTCAAAATTAAATTCAAATAAGAACTGTTTCTATGAAAGGACTAATCAAGGTACCTTGTCTCCTCTTTAACAATGCCATCACTTCTGATTTGCAAGCAGAAAAGTTTCCAACAGGATGAGGTGCCAAAAGTTTCGCATCACTTGTGTTTGATGTAAAGTCATATCCTTTGGGAATGCAAGGATTACTTTCAATGCCCTTTCTAGATGAAGAGACTGCAAAATTAACCAAAAGGTCGCTGCAACAATTAGCAATAGTACAAATAACAAACAAGGCCATGTTGTCAAGTGCATCTGAGACATGCATGTAAATATGCTTAGCTCATTAAGACTTCTGTACAAGGACGGTCTAAAATTAACATAAAATCAAAGATCTCTCTCTCTATCTCTCTCTCTCTCACACACACACACACGAGGAAAAACTTTGCCTTTTTTGCAGGACAAAAGAAGCATCAAAACTTAATGGTATATGGCCATATGGCACTAACCACCTAATACCCGCATAAGGCCTCAGGCCAGTGGTGGCAGCCATACAAAAGCTAGGTGAAGCAAAGTTGATGCCAAGTCAAGAGTTGAAAAAATTCTCAAAAATTGCTCAAATGAGATTGCTAACAGTTCCTTAAAGAAATCTGGTAGGACATGCAACGCATTACCAAAAGTGTGGAGTGCCAATTCGTAGACCTCGTGAACCAATTCTTAAGTATGTGAGTAGTCAATGTGATAGGTTGATTTTAAACCATTTGATTTGCAGAGTCTGCCTTTTAGATGGCCTCCACCATATCTGGCCCTTGTAGCTTTCGTAGGTCCACATCACCAGTGCCATTAGAAATTACAAGGACCAGCTCCACCAAACTGGTTAAACCAATGAACTAGCAAATCTGACCCTTGGCTGGCCAGTTTACATGGTGGAACCTGGTTTATGTTTTCTGTAACAAGTAGAAGCCTAATAGGTAAGGGATTTAAACCATCTACCTGTTGTAAGGGGCTTATTTGTTATTACTTATATAATGTTGGCGCTTATGTGTAATTTCTAAAACTTGTTATTATAAATAGAATGCGGTGGAAGGATAAAAGTATTCTTTCATTCTCTCTCTTTCCCCATCTCTCTCTCTTTTTCTTCTTCTTTATCACTTACTCTTTGATTTGATTATATCTTAAAGTCAACATGGTATCAGAGCATGGTTTGTAAAGCTCTAGGTGTGTAGTTGAAACCATAGGTCAAGTTTGTGTTCGCGAGGTTTTGCAACAGCAGTTTTTTCTTCGTCGTTCGCGATTCTAGTATGGTCTACTTTATTGCTTTCTAGGGTTTGTGTGGTCACTGTGTGGCCGTTTTTTTATTCATCTCAGAAGACGGTAATTTTTCTAGTTGAAGTTTGTGTGTTAGAGAGGAGGTTCTCTACGTATTTTGTTACTGTTTTTGTTTCTGAGGATTGCATACCTATAAACTGTTTGATAAAATGTCTAGCTCAAAGGTGGCTACAAAAAAAGCTGGTTCTCCTCCTAGTCTGACTCCAGTATTGGGAGGTAGTAATGATCACCATCCAGGCTTTGTATTACAACCGTTAGGCTAGATGAGACAAACTATATGGAGTGGGCTCAATCTGCTCATATGCATATCACTCATCGTAGGATGATAGACCATATCGATGGGACTGTCATGTATCCCTCTAAGAGCAATCCTGATTTCAAAGAGTGGAGTGCAAATAATGCACTAGTTATGACGTTGTTGCAGTCAATGCAGCCACAGATTAGCAAAGGGTTTCTGTTTGTGAAAACAGCTAAAGAGCTATGGACAGCTGTGGAAGAGACGTATTCCTCGGTTGGTAATTCTGCAAAACTATATGAACTCCAACAACAGATTACAAGATTCAAGCAGGAAGACCAAACTCTTGCTACATATTACCACACTCTACCTGGTAAATGAAAAGAGTTAGATCACTACCAAGACTACATACCTGTATGTGCAGCTAATGTTAAAGCATTTCATGTTATGGTAGAAAGGAATCGAATCTATGAGTTCTTGGGTGGTCTACATCCGAGATACGAGCATGCCAGGGTACAAGTGTTAGGCAGGTATACAGCCCCTACTTCTGTTAGAGATGTGTTCTTGTATATCCAGGCTGAGGAGAGTAGAATGAAGTCTATGTTTGCACCTGTATACACTAAGCCTGAACCAGAAGTACCATTGTCTAAGAGGTCTGCTCTTGCCACACAACAATGGAACAAGCCCAATCCTCTAAAAGGAGGGAAGTAGGATGACAAGAGCAAGTTGAGGTGTGATCACTTTGGGCGTACGCGCCACACTAAGGAAACATGGTGGAATCTACACGGTTGCCTTACTCCAGCTCCTGCTCATGCGAATGCTAGGCGAAGGCTTGGTCCATTTAGCGGGTTATCTACGGCACATACTGTAGAGCGTGAGACTGATTCTACTGGTCATGCCTCCTCAGGGCCACCAAGTTCTTTGTCCGGAGCTGAGCTTGATGCTCTCCGACATCTACTAGCACAACATTCTTCCATTTCCACCTATAACTTTGCTCAGACAGGTACCTCTCATTCGGCACATCAGGTTTCCACATTATCTGGTGGGCCACCCTGGATCATTGATGCAAGAGCCACTAATCACATGACTAGTATAACGTCTGATTTTTCTTTGTACAGTTTATATTCTGGAAAGAATAAGGTTAGAGTGGCTGATGACACCTTCACCTCCATCGCGAGGAAGGGCACAGTTTCTGCCGTTCCTAATCTTACCTTATCCTCTATTCTTCATGTCCCAAAGTTTATCAATAACCTCCTTTCTTGTTATGGCATATATGATACCACGATTTATGGAATGACTTACCATAATAGCAGAGATTTGATTATGCATATGTTAGCATATATGATAGCCACGATTTATGGAATGACTTACCATAATAACAGAGATTTGACTATGCTATAGAATGTGTTGTGATTTGATTTAGATTTTATTTAATTTCCTTTCTTGTAATACGAGCATGTGCTCTTTTTATCTATAAATACTAGAGTTGTGAATGAGTAATTCATCTCATTCAAGCCTTTACATAATTCTCTCCCTCTTCTTCTTTTTATTTCTACTTGGTATCAGAGCCAACACCTTTCCACACCTTTCAGTAGCCTTGTTACTTGTGCGACAACCACCTTAGGCTGTTTGTGATATCGTGTGACCTTCACATGTTTTTCTGTGTTGCTGTTTTGTGATCGAAAACAGGTATTTTTAAGTTTTACAATTTTTTTTTTACTCTTCTAGGGTTGGGTAAATTGGGATAGTTGGTCTCCAACACCTAGAAGGGCTTGGGTAAAAAAAATTTAGTTTACAAAGAGGTTCCGAATATTAAGAAGGAGGCTGTCTAGCTATATGTAAGCGGGCAGCGCTCCTTAAAAAAAGTATGTATTTGGATTTTTCGAAAATGGTGACAATGGTCTAAGGAGACATTGTTATTATTTATGGTCTAAGGAGACCTTTTGATTTATTAACAAAATTTGTGGTGTTTTTGGAATTTTTTTATTGTCGTGTGACAGATTATGGCAGATTCAGAGTCCTCGACTGTTAATTCTCTTGGCTCAAGTTCTGTGGGTGGTGGTGCCATTTTTCCCACCAACTCATCAGAAAATCAAGGACTTCAAATCACCACAATAAAGTTGGATAGTTCCACTATTTCATTTGGGCACAGTCTGCCAAGATGTTCATTGGTTGCAAAGGAAGATTGGTTATATTATTGGTTCTGAAAAACAACCAGTTGAGTCAGAGAAGGCATATCCACAGTGGTTTGCACATAACGATATGGTTATGTCTTGGCTAGTCAATTTGCAACCAAAAATAGTTGTTGGCTATATGTTTATGAAGACTGCTAAGCAAATTTGGGATTCAATTCAACGCACTTATTCTTAGAGGCAAAATAATGCACGAATTTTCCAGCTAGGGTGAGATGTCACCATGATTTCTCAGGGTGACTTGACAGTTTCAGGTTACATCGCCAAGCGTCGTGCTATTTGGGAGAAGATGTCATATTATGATTCCTTCCACTCTTGGAAGGATCCAGATGATGCAGTTTTATATGCAGGGATTGTGGAAAAGAATCGAGTGTTTCAGTTTCTTGCCGGGTTGAACGACGAGTTTGAGTATACTCGTGTTCATTTATTGGGCTTATCTTCATTCAGTACTCTTGAGGATGCATACTCCTATGTGCTGTCAGATGAGAGCCATCGGACTCATCCATTTGGTGTTGCTTCTGTTGATAGTTCTGCTAAGGCAGTTCAGGTTCCCAACCTTTCAGGAACTGCACCATCCCAATCAGTTAGAGTTCTACCACTGGTCCTCAACGCGGACGATGTGACCATTGCGGAAAAATTAGTCACATCAAATCTCGTTGTTATGCTCTATATAGACGCCAACCGCAACAGAAACAACAGCCTCGATCCTCTGCACATTCTGATACACCAGTCTCGTTGTCAACTCCTGACAACTCTGCCTCTACATCTTCTGCCACAGTTACCTTGACTCAAGCTGATTTGGACAAGTTCAAGCAATTCTTCAACCAAATGGAGGCATCATCTCAGCTAACCTCCACTTATGCCCACTCAGGTACTATAACGTCTGCACGTAGTGTATCTACTTCTTTGACACCATAGATCATTGATTCTGGTGCTTCAGACAATATGACTAGTATGTCCTCACTCTTCCAATCTTATAATATCTGCTCTGGCCATCGCAAGGTACACCTTGCGGATGGCTCTCCATCTTCCATTGCTGGGAAGGGTCACATATCAGTTACTCCTTCATTAACTTTGTCAGATACACTTCATGTTTCACAGTTGACTACAAATCTTATTTATGTCAGTAGCGTTACCAAACAATTAAATTGTAGTGTAACGTTCTTTCCCTCTCATTGTATTTTTCAGGATCTAGTGTCGAAACGGACGATTGGCAGTGGACGTGAAGTGGACGGTCTATACCTGTTGGATGCTCCTTTGTCACTTCAAGCACATTTAGCTTCATTTTCTAATATTATTTCATCTAATAAAGCCCAGCTAATGCGTTGGCACATGCGTTTAGGACATATTTCTTTCGGTTATTTAAAAGTCTCAGATTTATCCTGTGAGACATGTCATATGGCTAAACATGTTCGTTCCAATTATCCTGCTAGTAGTAATAAATCTACTTTAACACCTTTTGATCTTGTTCATTCAGATGTTTGAGGTCCTTGCCCAGTTACTTCTAGTCTTGGATTTCGATAATTCGTGTTGTTCATTGATGATCATAGTTGCGTTACATGGGTTTATCTTATGAAAACCAAAAATGAGGTATACACCATTTTTAAAAATTTTATAACAATGGTTCAGACTCAATATGGTCTTACCATTAAAAAATTCAGATCTGACCAGGGTACGAAGTACACCTATGGGGAGGTACAGCAGTTATGTACAGAAATTGGGATTGATCATCAGATGGCTAATGTTAAAACTCCTCAACATGATTGGTCGTTCTAAGAGAAAGAATCGCAGCTGAGTTCAGATCCAGGGCACATGGAGTTTGTGAGTTGTTATGGGTACGTACGATGTTGGGTGAGTTGGGGTTATCCTGTTTGCAAGTCAATGAAGTGGTATTGCGACAACAAGGCTGCTATTAGCATTGCCCACAATCCAGTTCAACATGACAAGACAAAGCACATTGAAGTCGATCGACACTTCATCAAGGAAAAGCTTCGTCTTGGGCTGATTTGTACTCCATACGTCAACACACATGATCAAGTTGTTGATGTTTTGACCGAGGGTGTGAGCAAGACTTGCTTGCAAAATATGTTAGTCAAGCTTGGCATGATAGATATCTTTGCACCAGCTTGAGGGGGAGTGTTGTCAGGGGCTTATTTGTTATTACTTATATAATGTTGAGGCTTATGTGTAATTTCTAAAACTTGTTATTATAAATAGAATGTGGTGGAAGGATGAAAGTATTATTTCATTCTCTCTCTTTCCCCATCTCTCTCTTTTTTCTCTCATCTGTTTTCTTCTCTTTTTCATCTTCTTTCACTTACTCTTGATTTGATTATATCTTAAAGTCGACACTACCTCCTATATATAACATTATGAAACAACTAAATTTTACAAAACTGAACGGGTCAGCCAACATTTTTTTTTTTTTTTTGGATAAGTAAACGGGGTCAGCCAACTTAATCAACTGTTAGAACAAATTGATCCCTTGACCTGGCTATCAAAAAAGGCCAATGGCAGCATTGGCTCTGAAACTGCCTCTCGCTATTTTTTAAGAACACTAATTGCAAAAACAATCACATATAATGCTACATTTAAACACTTGTATCAAATGAACTAATTTAGGAATACAAGAGGACTTTTAAGATGCTCTTCAATATATATTTTTCCTGAATGCAAGAGGAGTCATTATATGTTTGGATAAGATATGCAAATAATAAGAATAATAATAAAAAAAATTAAAAAGGAAGAAGTGATGACTAAAAATTAAATACAGAACCAGAACCAGAACATTTTGTAGCGAACAATCAGAAGCAAGCAACTCTGTATGTGGCAACAACTAACTATATGTAAATGAACACTCAAATTATGGAGCGAACCCCGCCCCCCCCCCCCCCCCCCCCGGGCGCAAAATATATATATATATAACAAAATAAAATAAAAAACCAAAATTAACATATAAGAAAAACAAAGATTCTTACCTGCCCACGAGTCTCTGGACTTCTGTATCACACCCAGTGATTCCCATACTGCATCCTGTACAAGAACAAAGGTAAAACTTGTTAAGCGTCTTCATATCATCATCAATTTTATTGAGATGGCAAAAGATAAGATTCAATTTCATGAAATACAAAAGAAGGGAAGATATAATGTGCATTTCCATTGTCCCTACATTTCAACTGCGGCTCACAAGGGCAGAAAGCAGAATATTCTCTCCTCTTTTTTTTTTTTTTTTTTCAAATTCGCCCTCTTACAAATTATTTACAAACAAAAACTCCTGAAAGAATTCACATTAACAAGGCTGTCTGCATGTTTCATGAGATTGATGATAATCAGAAGAGGAGGGGTAAGGGAAGGACTCCATCAGAAAAAGGGGAGAGGGAGGTTAGGAATCTTATTCCGTATGTCAATTATGAAAGGAAAAGTTGGGGTCGAAGGAGGGGAATAGAGGGAAGGAGAACTTGTTTGTTTCCTTATGAAGTTCCGCATAATCTCATGGAATGTTCGCGGTCTAAATGATCTGGACAAGAGGAAGGTGACGAAGTTGGCAGTTTGGAAGTGGAGTGCTCAGTCGGTTTCGGATAAGATCGTTAGGAATCTTTGGGGCGGACATTTTGTGGATTGGGTTTCTTTGGATGCTTTGGGATCTTCGGGGGGTATTCTTGTGATGTGGGACAAAAGGTAGGTCTCTAAACTGGATGTTTGGGCGGAATGTTACTTGGTGTCATGTGCTTTCTCTATGGAGGAGGATGGTTTCCATTGGATTTTTTCGGGTGTTTATGGTCCAACTAAGGACAATGTGTGTCATTGGTTGTGGGAGGAACTTGATTATGTTAGAAGAAGGTGGCCTTAACCTTTGTGTGTTGGAGGGGATTTCTCTATGATATTTATGCTTTTCATGATGGGTCATGATGGGTTCTCTATGATATTTATGCTTGAGACTTGGGAGGTGGTTAAGGGGGAGGTGATGGATACTTTTCATGCTTTTCATTTTCAGGGGTGTTTTGAGAAGGCCCTGAATGCTACATTCATTGCTCTCATCCCAAAGAAGGATGGTGTGTACGATGTTAAGGACTTTAGGCCTATTAGTTTGGTGGGTTGCATATATAAACTAATTGCTAAGGTCCTGGCTCGGATATTGAGGGAGGTATTGGACAGGATTATTTCGGATTCTCAAAATCCCTTTGTTGGTGGTCGCCAAATTCTTGATTCAGTCCTCATTGCAGGAGAGTGCATTGATTCCAAAATAAGGGGTGGGTTCCAGGTGTTTTGTGCAAGTTAGACATTGAGAAAGGCTTACGATCATGTTAGTTGGGGGCTTTTGTTATTAGCTAGAAAGAATGGGGTTTAGTGAGAGATGGAGGAAATGGATCGATTTCTGCATCTCCAGCACTCAGTTCTCGGTCCTTGTGAATGGAACCGTCTGGATTTTTGGGTAGCTCGAGGGGATTGAGACAGGGGGCCCGCTTTTTCCTTTTATGTTCCTTTTGGTGATGGAAGCTCTTGGCAAACTGATGACAAGGGTTGTCGCTTGCGTTTTTTTAAGAGTATTTAGGGTGGGGAGGGATGTTGCTAGTCAGATGGAGATTTATCATTGCATGTTTGCGAATGACATGTTGGTTTTTGTGATGCAGATGCGTTGCAGTTGAGATTCCTGAGATGCGTTCTGATCTGGTTTCAAGTCATCTCTAGCTTGAAGGTGAATGTGGTCAAGAGTGTTCTGTTCCAGTTGGGGAGGTTCCTGACATTTCCTCATTAGCTCAGATTTTGGGATATAGCATTGGCTCCTTTCCCATTTCTTATCTTCGGCTATCTCTTGGGATTCCGTCTAAGCGGGTGGGAATTTTTTTATTTATTTTTGATAAGTAAGAATATATTAGAAAGCAAGCATTCAAAAGGGGAACGCATCCCAAGTACAAACACTTACAGGGCCCAAGGATCCCAAAAAATCTACAATTTCATCAATTGAAGTACAATTTCTCCCCATCACCCACCTGAAAAGAGAACTAATAATATGAAGTTTCAAAACTGCAATGGATGATTCCTTCCCTTCAAAAGATCTATTATTCCGCTCCCTTCCAAATGCACCACCACACGCAATGGGGAACCGTTCTCCAAAAATCCCGGGCATGGCCCCCCATGGAACAACCTCTCCAAGTGTTTATCAAACCCCTCGAAGACTGAGACATAACCCAATGGATTCCAAAAAGGCCAAAGATAAGCTTCCAACAGTCGTGAGCTACAGGACAACGTAAAAGTCGGTGATCCACTGACTCTCTGTCCCTTTTGCATAGACAGCACCAATTAACAGCAATGTGTCTTCTCTTCCTTAGATTATCAAAAGTCAAAGTCTTACCCCAAGCAACAGTCCAGACAAAGAAAGCCACTCTGAGAGGAGCCTTAGAGTGCCAGATTGTCTTCCAAGGGAATTAGAACCAACAAATTTGGAGAGGCACAAGAACATGGACCGGACCTCAAACCTTCCCTGAGAGGCACCCAAAGCAAAGCATCATTACCTATATTTGCCTCCTGATGATATCCCAAAGGCCACAAACCTCAACCACCTCCCAGTCCTGAAAGGCTGAAAAAGACGCCGAAACCGCACATCCCATACCGCTATTGAGCTGGTAACAGTCAGCCTCATGGCCATGTCTATCAACAGCAATCCTATAGAGTATGGGAAAAGATAAAGACAACAGGCGATCACCACACCATAAATCCTCCCAAAACCAAACCCCTCTACCAACCCGGACTTTGAATCTAATATGTTTAGAGAATTCGCCCCAACCCTTCCGAATAAATTTCCACACCCCCAGCATTAGAGAGTAGACTAGAAGACAACCCACCTCTCTCTTCCCCAAAACAACATGAAATAACCCTCCTCCAAGGTCGATGTCGTTCACTACCAAATCTCCACCATCACTTACCAAGAAGAGCTTTGTTAAAGGGAACCAACCTCCTAATGCCAAGGCCGCCCATAGGCCTGCAAATCTGCTCCCAACGGACAAGATGATACTTGAACTCCTCGCCCCGACCACCCCAAAGGAAATTCCATTGAATCATCTCAATCCTTTCAGCAATAGAAGACGAAATCTGGAAGAGAGATAAAAAGTATGAAGGAAGACTAGACAACGTACTCTTCATGAGAGTAACCTTTCCCCCCTTCAACAGATATTGCTTCTTCAGCCTATCTCTTCTCAAACCTCTCAATCATAGGATCCCATCCTCCCACAGTTCTCAACGAAGCCCCCAATGGCAAACCCAGAATGGGAATAGGAAAAGAGCTCACCCCACACCCAAGAACCGCAGCAAGAGAAAAAATGTCCTTAACTAACCCAACCGGGACAAGCGTACTCTTTCCTACATTAACTTTCAGACCAGAAGCTGCCTGAAAACACACCAGAACACACCTAAAATATCTCAATTTTGGGAAGTGGCTTTGCAAGCAAATTTGGAGAGGATAGAGGAGGGTGGTGTTCGGCGAAGGTGAGACTTCCTAGCGGAGTTGGGGCTTGGAAATTCATTCGGAAGGGGTGGGATGAATTTTCCAAACATATTAGATTTCCAGGTAGAGATGGAAGGAAAATGCGCTTTTGGGAGGATGTCTGGTGTGGAGACCATTCTCTTGCTCTCACTTTTCCTAGACATTTCCAGATTGCTACAGATAGACATGCCTCAGTGACTGACTGCTATCGTCTCGATAGCTGTAGTATGGTCTGGGATGTGCACTATTCAAGAAATTTTCAAGATTGAAAGATTGAGGATGCAATTGATTTTTTGGAGCTGCTTTATAGTCAGGAGTTTATGGAAGACATTTCTGATTTTTGGGTGTCGACTTGATGCAAATAATAATTAATTAGTCTCGGAAATTGTCTAGTCAAAGTTTTAAGTAGTAATTATGATATGAGAATCTGAAAATGTTATTGGGTTATTGGAATAGTAGAAGTTGTCATTAATGTTTTGTGAGAAGTTTGAAAGTTAGTCTAGAGATAGTAAATGCCATTAATACTTTTCTTATAAAAGAGACAACCCTATGTATCTGTTGTTTGCTGAACCAAGTCTTTATAAATATCATTGGATTTATTTCAGAATAATACTTATCTTACGGATTTTCCCATATTTCCCTCTAGGCTACAAAGGTGATTGGAGTAACCCTAGTTGATTGGAGTAACCCTATTCCTTCCTTACTACTGTAAGAAGACTTGTGTGTTCTTTCTATTTGCTTCAGGACTCCCTCCTCACAGGGTCGCTTCAATGTCAACAATCTCCTATCACTCCTCCTATGTAGGAAAATATATTTTTAAATTTCTTATAATTTTCCAAAATTTTATTTCATTTTTATTAATTTTGTAATTCACTTCTTTAAATATTTTTTATGGAAAATGTTGCGACTAGAGAGAGAGAGAGAACACGGTGGATACATAATGTGTATTTCATACATATCAAACCCTAAGCCTACTACAGTGGCTTATATAGAGTATAGGTCTCAGCTAATTACACAATGACCCTACCAACTATATGTAATTACATAATGACCCAAAATATTCTAACACTCCCCCTCAAGCTGGAGAGTATATATCAAATAATCCCAGCTTGGAACAAATAGTCGTTAACCGATTATGACCCAATGCTTTGGTAAACATATCATCTAACTGATCTTCAGACTTCACAAATGGAGTAGAGATGCTCCCACTTAATATTTTTCCTCGAATGAAGTGACAATCAACTTCAATATGTTTGGTCCTCTCATGAAACACAAGATTTGATGCAATGTGAACAGCTGCTTGATTATCACAGAACAATGGAGTAGGAGTTTCAACTTTCATCCCAAGTTCTTTTAGAAAATGTTGTATCCAAGTCAACTCACTAGTTGTATGGGCCATTGCCCTGTACTCAGCTTCAGCACTAGATCGAGCTACCACCGTTTGCTTTTTACTTTTCCATGTAACAAGATTTCCTCCTACAAATGTGCAGTAGCCTGTAGTAGATCGCCTGTCTGAAGGAGAACCAGCCCAGTCAGCATCTGAAAAACCTTC